ACTGGTTTTCCATGTTGGGCACCTTCTGGTCGGCCCCCCTGTGAGCACAGGATGCTGAACTATCTATCTATCTATCTATCTATCTATCTATCTATCTATCTATCTATCTATCTATCTATCTATCATCTATCTATCTATCTATCTATCATCTATCTATCTATCATCTATCTATCTATCTATTTATACATACATACATACATACATACATACATACCCCGCCCTCCCCAGCCAAAACCGGGCTCAGGGCAGCTAACACCAGGTAGAAAAACAATTGATTAAAATACAACTTAAAAACAAGATTAAAATACAACATTAAAATACAGCCTCATTTCAGTAGAAACTCAAATCAAAAACTTTTTGGGGATGAAAACGTCAAATCTTCCCTAAGGCCAACTATCCAGACTGGTCCTATGTGGGCCAGAAAAAAGCCAGGGAAGTCCCCAAATAGGAGTTCCATCACAACAGGAGAAAGGAAAAAGGAAAGAGGGGGAGGGGATCAAGTTAATTCCAGGCCAAAAGGCAGGCGGAACAACTCTGTCTTACAGCCCCTGCAGAAAGAAATCAGATCCCGCAGGGCCCTGGTCTCATGAGACAGAGCGTTCCACCAGGCCGGGGCCAGTGTTGAAAAGGCCCTGGCTCTGGTTGAGGCTAATCTGACTTCCTTAGGGCCCAGGATCACTAGGGTGTTGCTATTTATGGACCTTAAGGTCCTCCGTGGGGCATACCAGGAGAGGCAGTCCCGTAGGTCATTATAACTAGATGGGTCATTGGCTTGATCCAGCATCTTACAGCTTTATTTGGGTCTGCATGACCTACCAAGGAAGACAACAGCACAGCAAAATTCAAAACCGTTGCAAAGAGCTGCGCTTCTATTCTGACGTCAATGAACACCATACAGTGGGTCCTCTGGATACGAATTCGTTCCGGGGGTTCGTGCGCACCCTGAAAAATCCATACCCAGAGGCGCTGTTTCTGCGCATGCGCAAGCGGCAAAACCTGGAAAAATACTTCTGGGTTTGCCGCTTTCGCAACCCGAAGTTTCTGTTACTCGAGAGTAACCTAACCCGAGGGTCTACGGTATGGCGGAATCTGTTCAACAACACATGCCACGATGCCAACTTTTCAAAGTCTGAAAGTCATTTGCAGTTCCGGGGCCTCCCCCTGTGTCTTATCAAAATCCTTCTTAAATTGTGGCACCAAGAATTGGACACAGTATTCCGGGTGTGAGTCTGACCAAGGCGGAATAGAGCCTATTGCTTTCCTTGATCTGGACACGGATGCGGCTGAGAATAGCTGGACAGTTAGCCTTGGTGAAGACCTGATGTTTTCATCCCCAAAAAAGTTTTTGATTTGAGTTTCCATTGAAACGAGGCTGCATTTTAATGTTTTAATGTTGTACTTTAATCTCGTTTTTAAGTTGTATTTCAATCAATTTGTGTTTTTTTATCGGTTGTTAGCCGCCCTGAGCCCTGTCTTGGCTGGGGAGGGTGGGGTATAAATAAAATTTATTATCTATCTATCTATCTATCTATCTATCTATCTATCTATCTTTATTTATTTGCATTAGCGTTCTTTGCTGCTAATTTTCACATTCAGATCAGCGGATTTTGGCATGCAGGGAACTGCATTTGTATCTGTGTGTGTGTGTGTGTGTGTGTTTTCTCACTGGGAGCGGGGAGGAGATCCGAAAAAGGACACACAAACACACACAGAGACCTCCATGGCAGCCCCCTTCCCCCAGGCCCGTCTAGACTACCTGCGGGACCAGTTCCAGATTCGCGAAAACGACTTCCTGACCTTCGACGCCATGCGCCACGCAGCCCAGTGCGTGGGGAGAGCCATTCGCGGCAAGACCGACTACGGCCTGATGGTGTTCGCTGACAAGGTTTGCCGGGTGGCGGGGCAGAAATCCTGAGCAGCGGCACATTGTTCCGCAGACTCGGAGGGGGAGGTGGGTGTGTGGGCAGTGGCGGGCACCCATTCTCCCCAGGTAACATGCCCCACGACTCTCGGCAGCGCTTCGCGCGGGCGGACAAACGGGGCAAGCTCCCCCGCTGGATCCAGGAGCACATCACGGACGCCAACCTCAACTTGACGGTGGATGAGGCCGTGCAGGTGTCAAAGTTCTTCTTGCGCCAAATGGCCCAGCCGTTCCGCAAGGTGAGTGGCGGGAGAGGAGGGTCCGGGTTGGCTGACTTTTAACTGGGCTGGAGGAAGGGACTCGGGGAGTGCCAACGCTCCACAGGTTAGGGGAGCAATACTTGCCTTGTCCCGGGTACAGGCAACCCACGCTATGTCACTGGGATAAAGTCATGCTGGCCACATGACCTGGAAGCTGTACGCCGGCTCCCTCGGCCAATAAGGCAAGATGAGCGCCGCAACCCCAGAGTCGGCCACGACTGGACCTAATGGTCAAGGGTCCCTTTACCTTTGGACTGGAGGGGGTGGCGGGTATGAGGACGAGCCCTTCCTACTCCTGACCCCAGATCCCGTCCTCTCTTTCGCCAGGAGGACCAGCTGGGTCTGTCTCTCCTCACCTTTGAGCAGCTGCAGTCGGAGGAGACGCTACGCAAGGTGCAGGAAATTGCCCACCAGGTGTGAGGCGAGCAGGAAGAGGAAGCAGAAAGCACAAATGGGGGTCTCCCCGCAACTCCTGCCTCGGCCTGGCCCACCGGCGGAGACGAAATCAGAGGGGCCAAACTCACACGGATTTTGTACCCCACACACCCAAAAGGACTCTGTTTGCCAGTTCCAGATTTTGGTCTCAGGTTGCAATAAAATAGCTTTTTTGGTTTTTCTTAAGTGCTGAGTGTTATTCATTCTGCTTTCCTATCTGCCATAATAATAAATTAATAATAAATTAATAATAAATTAATAATAATACTAATAATACTAATAATAATTTATACCCCGCCCATTTGGATGTGTTTCCCCAGCCACTCTGGGCGGCTTCCAACAAAGTATTAAAATACAGTGGTCTGTTAAATATTAAAAGCTTCCCTAAACAGGGCTGCCTTCAGATGTCTTCTAAAAGTCTGGTAGTTGTTCTTCTCTTTGACATCTGGTGGTAAGACGTTCCACAGGGCAGGTGCCACCACCGAGAAGGCCCTCTGCCTGGTTCCCTGTAACTTGGCTTCTCGCAGCGAGGGAACAGCCAGAAGGCCTTTGGAGCAGGACCTCAGTGTCCGGGCTGAACGATGGGGGTGGAGACGCTCCTTCAGGTATACAGGACCAAGGCCATTTAGGGCTTTAAAGGTCAGCACCAACACTTTGAATTGTGCTCAGAAATGTATTGGGAGCCAGTGTAGGTCTTTCAGGACCGGTGTTATATGGTCTCGGCGGCTCCTCCCAATCACCAGTCTAGCTGCCGCATTCTGGATTACCGTAAATTTCGCTCTATAACACGCAGATTTTTTCTCCTAAAAAGTATGGGGAAATGTCTGTGCGTGTTATTGAGCGAATGTGTGGCCCCTGGAGCTGACTTGCCGGGGCAAAATAGGCAAAAATCAGGCAAAAATAAGATCGGGCGGGCTGCTGCTTTCCTGCATTCTGCCTCAGGGTCTTACTGCCCACCCGCTTCTGTTGCTGCGTTTGCTCAAACTCAACAAAGAGCAGGGAATCCCCTGCCCTCCTGGCAAGCAGAGGGTTAAGGAAAGGATCAAGTCCTTCCTTCTAATTCTTTCCTAGTCACACTGCGTGCTCCTCTCCGTGCTCTAGGGACTCGCAGGCAGCCGAAAAACATGCAGGTGGGAGAAAGAGAGAGGGCTGGCTTGGGGGGGGGGACTTTTGCCTTCCTTTCCTCCCCCCCACCCCGTTAAACTCCTCCCCTGCATTCTTAGCCAGCTGCTTCTCCGCACACCCCTCTTGTGCTTCTTGTCCCTTCTGTGTTTTTCCTTCCCTCCCCATTTAAAACGTGGTGACAAAGCACGGATCCACATGGATCCTCAGGATTTTTGCATTGGGTCACCCCAAATTCACCATCAGATCACATTACATGTCCATGGCTACAGTCTGTACCAAAAAAATCACGCACCCACTGTTGCCTGGGGCTGCAATGGTGCAAAAACGTGGTTACAAAGCATGGATCCACAGGATCTTTGCACTGGGTCACCCCAAATTCACCATCAGATAACATAGCATGTCCATGGCTACAGCCTGCACCAAAAAAATCATGCACCCACTGTGGCCTGGGGCCACAATGGTGCAAAAATGTGGTTACAAAGCACGGATCCACATGGATCCTCAGGATTTTTGCATTGGGTCACCCCAAATTCACCATCAGATCACATAGCATGTCCATGGCTACTTCTTGCACCAAAAAAATCACGCACCCACTGTTGCCTAGGGTCACAGTGGTGCAAAAACGTGGTTACAAAGCATGGATCCACATGGATCCTCAGGATTTTTGCATTGGGCTACTCCAAACTCACTGTCAGATCCCATGTCTGTGGCCACAGCATGAACCACAAAAATCATACATCCACTGTTTCATTTAGAATATTTTTTTTCTTGTTTTCCTCCTCTAAAAACTATGTGTGTGTTATGGTCTGGTGCGTGTTATAGAGCGAAAAATACGGTAGTTGTAGTTTCCAGGTCACCTTCAAAGGTAGCCCCACCTAGAGCGCATTGCAGTAGTCCAAGCGGGAGATAACCAGGGCATGCACCACTCTGGCGAGACAATCTGTGGGCAGGGAGGGTCTCATCCTGCGTAGCAGATGGAGCTGCCCTGGACACAGAATGGACCTGCACCTCCATTGACAGCCGTGAGTCCAAAATGACTCCCAGGCTGCGCAGCTGGTCCTTCAGGGGCACAGTTACCCCATTCAGGACCAGGGAGTCCTCCATACCCGCCAGCCTCGTTCCCCCCAAAAACAGTCCTTCTGTCTTGTCAGGATTCAACCTCAATCCATTAGCCGCCATCCATCCTCCAACCGCCTCCAGGCACTCACACAGGACTCTTCCCCTTCCCCCCATCCACTAAATGAATGAAGCAGACAACATTCAGCAGTCACTGGTCCAGTATCCATTTACAACCATTTATTTGGGGCAGAGAGATATGCTTCCTGTTGCATAAATACAATAAATATTGTGACTTTGGCTGGAGGGAAATAGCAGCGATTTTTTTCCACTGGGCGGGGGGGAAGAGGAGTGCAACTTTACCTGGTCGTACGCAAAGAGTTAAGGCAGCAGTGGAGTGGGGGGCAGAGACCCTCCTGTCCAGCTGCTTTGGGAAGGGCCACCCACTGCCCCCCCAAAGGTCCTGAGAAATAACAGCCTGTTTGTCCTGATTGCAGGGGGGCCGGACCTGATCTCCATCCCAGCCCACCTCTCACAGGGAAGACCCTTCATGCAGCCACAGAGGCCCCAGTGAACAGGGGCGTTCCAGCTGTGGGATGGTGGGGGGGGGTCTCCACCTGGTGCAGGACCCCCCGCCCTGGTTCCAGCAGCCCCACAAGCTCAGCTGAAAGCTGGCCGAGGGGAGGAGAGAGAGGCTCAAGCTTCGGCCCAGCCTAAAGGCAGCAGCGAGGGAAGCGCGGTGGGAAGAGGGGCCAAGCCAGGCCTAAGTGGAGCTGCTTTGCATGAGGTCCTGGGAGCTGGAGCTCAGCGTCCGGGCGCCGGTCAGGGTCCTGCTACTGGGCTGCTGCAAAACAAACAGACAAGGCTACAGCACTGCAGGAAAAGCCAGTTCTAGAAGAGTTTGGATTTGATATCCCGCTTTATCACTCCCCTTCAGGAGTCTCAAAGCGGCTAACATTCTCCTTTCCCTTCCTCCCCCACAACAGACACTCTGTGAGGTGAATGGGGCTGAGAGACTTCAGAGAAGTGTGACTGGCCCAAGGTCACCCAGCAGCTGCAGGTGGAGGAGCGGAGACGCGAACCCGGTTCCCCAGATTACGAGTCTACCGCTCTTAACCACTACACCACACTGCTTCGGCTGCAACCCCTTCCTTTGAGGCTCTGCCTAAAAGAGCATAAACATAAGAGCCCAGATTCCTGTTCTCACTGCAGCCAACCAGGTGCCCATCACAGAAAACCCACGAGCAGGACCCGAGTGCGAGAGCAACTCTTGCCTGCTGTGGTATCCAGCCAATGGCATTCAGAAGGCCTTTGACCGCAGAGCCCAGCCACCGTGGCTAGTAGCCATGAATTTATCTTTGCAGTTCTTTCTAGTAAGTACCATAATGATCATGATTATTTGTCGGCAGTTTGCAGAAATCAATTGTCTCCAAATGTGGCGGCCTTGAATTTATGAGTCGGGAATTCAGTGCCGTCCAGCGGAAGGGAGCGTTTGGGAGCCTCTGAAGCTGCCCCCTGGGCTCGCTCGTCAACAGTTCGGATAATCAAGGTGTTTCTCTTCCTTAATTTATAACTAGTATCTTGTAAACTTTGGTTCGACTTTGCGTTTGGCACTGCCTAGCAAAGTGCTCAGCGCAGCCCAGCTTCACGTGGCCTCACAGTTTAGGGGAGTTAGAACCATAAAACCATGAGATGAAACGATAAATTAAAACATCAAAACGAAGCACTAAAAGGAGTTAAGAAATAAAATGGAAGAGAAGATAAAAACAAATGCCGAGGGTTGTTTGTAGAGCAGAAATTTGCCTTAGAGCTCAAAACCCTGATTCAAGCATTCGGCAGCCATCTTAAAGCCCGCTATCTCATCCTCATTTAAAGCCACCCAATTTGGTTTTCCTGTGGCAGCGAGTTACACAGATGCACTTCTAAGGGGCTGTACGCCAGCATCTTCCAAACTGACTGGCAGGCCAGCAGCGCCAGGAAGGCACATGCCAGGGCAGGGAGTGGCAACGCAAAACTTTTGCTGGCTGGGCTGCCAGGGCCCCCAGCCACAAAGGAAACTGACCCCCAGGATGTCCTGCATGTGAGGCAGGGCTCTGTCCCCGCAGCCTTGCCACGCAGCCCTGGCACCTTGCCCCTCCTCTCCCCTGCCACAGACTCACCGTCGGGGACGCAGCCGCCGCTCTCTCGCCCACGTGCAAGACGTTCAGGGAAGTGGCCCTTTTCATCCTGTCCAAAAAGACAAACGCCTGTCAAGTTCTGATGCACCTGTGCATGCCTGGTTTCCGAGCACAATTCAAAGGGTTGGTGCTGACCTTTAAAGCCTTAAACGGCCTCAAAGGCCGAGGATACCTGAAGGAGCGTCTCCACCCCCATCGTTCAGCCCGGACACTGAGGTCCAGCGCCAAGGGCCTTCTGGCGGTTCCCTCGCTCCCTGCGAGAAGTGGGCCTTCTCGGTGGTGGCGCCTGCCCTGTGGAACGCCCTCCCACCAGATGTCAAGGAAATAAACAACTCTCTGACTTTTAGAAGACTTCTCAAGGCAGCCCTGTTTAGGGAAGTTTTCAATGTTTGATGTTTTATCGCGTTTTTAGTACAGTGGACGCTCGGGTTGCGAACATGATCTGTGCAGGATACATGTTCACAACCCGCAGCGATGCATCTGCGCACACGCGGGTTGCAATTTGGTGCTTCTGCACATGCGCAAAGCACGATTTAGCACTTCTGCGCATGCACGACCACCAAAACCCAGAAGTAACCTGTTCTGGTACTTCCAGGTTTTGGCGGGTCCGTAACCCGAAAAAACGCAACCTGAAGCATCTGTAACCTGAGGTATGACTGTATTCTGTTGGGAGCTGCCCAGTGTGGCTGGGGAAACCCAGCCAGATGGGCGGGGTATAAATAAATAATAATAATAATAATAATTATTATTATTATTGACTTTTTAACGAATCATGGAATTGGAAAGTTGGAAACAGCGCTCCCCTCCCCTGGTAATCTAGCGCAACCTCCTGAAAGGCAGGAATCGCAGCTCAACAATCCCTGACTGATGGCTGTCCAACCGCCAGCGAATCGTGAAGTTGGAAGGGACCCCCAAAGGTCATCTATTCCAGCCCTCTGCAACAATGCAGGAATCTCAGCTAAAGCATCCAAGACAGGTAGCCATCCAGCCTCTGCTTAAAAACCTCCAAAGTCGGGAAGAGGGGAGCACCTTCCCAGGGAGCCTCTTCTACTGTCAAGAGTTCTTCCCCTCAGAAAGTTCTTCCTAATATTTAGTCAGAATACCCTTCCTTGTAACTTGAAGCCATTGTTTCGGTTCCTGCCCCTCCAGGGCAGGAGAAAACAAGCTTGCTCCGTCAGCCCTTCAGATATTTGAAGATGGCTGTCATTTCACCCTCTCCGTCTAAAACACCCCCAACTCCCTCAATCGTTCCCCGCGAGAACGGTGTTTGTGTGCGTATTGCTTGCTTGGAGGCAAACGTTCCTGCCTCCAGGTTCCAGGGAGACCCAGACTCACCCTGGGGCCGAGGCTGCAATGGGGCGCCGTCCGCCTTCCCCTTTGAGTTTGGAGACGAGTTTCTCGCTGCCTCGCTTGAGGGACTCGCGGAAGCGGGAAAAGGAACTGCTGCGCCTCAGGTTCCCAAGGGAGTCCTGGCAAAAAGGGAGGGATCACAGACTTGTAAAAAGGTAAAGGACCCCTGGACGGTTAAGTCCAGTCAACGGCGACGATGGGGTTGTGGCGCTGATCTTGCTTTCAGGCCGAGGGACCTGGCGTTTGTCCGCAGACAGCTTTCCAGGTCATGTGGCCAGCAGGACTAAACCGCTTCTGGCACAACGGTACAGTGTGACGGAAACCAGAGCGCACGGAAACTCTGTTTACTTTCTTGCCGGAGCGGTACCTATTTATCTACTTGCACTGGTGTGCTTTCGAACTGCTAGGTTGGCAGGAGCTGGGACAGAGCAACGGGAGCTCACTCCGTAGCGGGGATTCGAACCGCCGACCTTCTGATCGGCAAGACCAAGAGGCTCAGTGGTTTAGACCACAGCACCACCTGCGTCGCTCTACAGAATTGTAGAGTTGGAAGGGACCCAAAGGATTGTCTAGTCCAACCCCTGAAATGCAGGTAAAAAGGTAAAGGTAAAGGTAAAGGGACCCCTGACCATTAGGTCCAGTCGTGGCTGACTCTGGGGTTGCAGTGCTCATCTCGCTTTACTGGCCGAGGGAGCCGGCGTACAGCTTCCAGGTCATGGGGCCAGCATGACTAAGCCGCTTCTGGCGAACCAGAGCAGCGCATGGAAACGCTGTTTACCTTCCCGCCGGAGCGGTACCTATTTATCTACTTGCACTGGTGTGCTTTCGAACTGCTAGGTTGGCAGGAGCAGGGACCGAGCAACGGGAGCTCACCCCGTTGCGGGGATTCGAACCGCCGACCTTCTGATCGGCAAGTCCTAGGCTCTGTGGTTTAACCCACAGCGCCACCCGCGTCCCTCTGAAATGCAGGAGCCACAGTTAAATTCTGCTGCGGGTGCAAAGGGTAACACAATCTTTCTGCAGACTAGGGTGGGGAGGTGGGGTCAAGACCTAAAAACAGAGAAGAGGGAGGGAAGCCCCCCAAAGCAGCCCCAACACAAACCTGGCTATACAGGGCGCCTCTTCCGGGTCCCGTTCTGCTCTCATCTGAAAGATGCAGGGGAAAGGATGGAGAGAATAAGATAAGGTTGCCAGACATCCCTGTTTCCCGGGGACAGTACCCGGATTTACAAATTAGCCCCCTGACAAAATCCATCTATTTAGCAGGAAAAGTTGAAAAGTGTCCCCAGATTCATTGAAAAAAATCTGGTAACCTTAGAAGAAGATGATCCTTACTTTTCTCACCCTGACCTAGACACTGTGATCCATGCGACGGTCACCTCCAGACTTGATTATTGTAACTCCCTCTACGTGGGGCTGCCCTTGAGACTGACCCAGAAACTCCAGCGGGTGCAGAATGCTGCAGCGAGACTCCTTACGGGGTCTTTGCTGCGAGATCACATTCACCCGGTGCTATACCAGCTGCACTGGCTCCCGGTGGAGTACAGGATCAGGTTTAAGCTGCTGGTTTTAACCTTTAAAGCCCTATACGGCCTAGGACCCTCGTACCTCCGGGACCGCCTCTCCTGGTATGTCCCACAGAGGTCCTTAAGGTCCACAGAATACAACATTTTGGAGGTCCCAGGTCGCAAGGTGGTTAGATTGGTCTCAACTAGGGCCAGGGACTTTTCAGCTGTGGCCCCGACTTGGTGGAACGCTCTGTCAAAAGAGACCAGGGCCCTGTGGGACTTGACATCTTTCCACAGTGCCTGTAAGACGGAGCTGTTCCGCCTGGCCTTTGGTTTGGACTCAGTCTGACCCCCTCCTTTCATAATCCTCATAGAACTCTAGCCCAATGGTTGCCATTAACCTGATTCTGAATTAGTTTTAGAATGAATTGGTTTTAGAATGCTGTGTTACTTTTATTGTTGTTAGCCGCTCTGAGCCCGGCTTCGGCTGGGGAGGGCGGGATATAAATAAATTTTATTATTATTATTATTATTATTATTATTATTATTATTATTATTATGCACGGTTTGCCGCTACATTGCCCTTCCCCAAACTTCCCTCTCCAGACTCTGCTGCAGAGAAACACAACTGCAAGCCGACTGCTCACCGCCTCTGCTGACGCCCAAATCCTGGTCGTGTGTGGACAGAATTTCCTTGTAGAGCTCTTCAGCCTGTTGGTACTTGCCCTGCTTCAGGTAAGACGATGCCTGGGCGAGAAAAGAGGATGGTGGTTTTAGCTGGGTGGCACCGTACCCGATGACGTCACCTGTTTCCCTACTGAAAAAACAATTAACTAGAAAGAAGGTTCTTTTTATCCTATGTGGTGGTCTTCTAGTAAGGTTAAGGCTTATTGGGAAATGATATATAATGAAATGAAAAGGATGTTTAAAATAAGGTTTGTAAAAAAAAACCTCAGAAGCTTTCCTTTTGCGCATTACAGTGGTACCTCGGGTACCTCGGGTTAAGTACTTAATTCGTTCTGGAGGTCCATTCTTAACCTGAAACTGTTCTTAACCTGAAGAACCACTTTAGCTAATGGGGCCTCCTGCTGCTGCCACGCCGCCAGAGCACGATTTCTGTTCTCAACCTGAAGCAAAGTTCTTAACCTGAAGCACTATTTCTGGGCTAGCGGAGTCTGTAACCTGAAGCATATGTAACCTGAAGCGTATGTAACCCGAGGTACCACTGTATAGGAACAGAACTACCCAAACTACAGCGATTTATTCATGTATGCGACTACTGTGGAAAGAATGTTACTTGTCCCAAAATGGAAAGAAGTTGAAGTTCCAGGAAAGGAAGAACGGATACAAAAACTTATGGAATATGCAGAAATGGCGGGACTCACCGGTAGAATAAGAAATCAAGATAACAAACTTTTTATAAAAGAACGGAAATGGTTTATTGAATGTTTACAGATAAACTGTAAACAGATAAGAAAAATTGGCAGGATTATTGTAATAACCTGCCGTTTCATAAGAGTTTATACTTAAAGAAGATGAATAAATGAGTTAATTAAGTTAATTTGGATACGCAGAAGATATTAAAAATAAATTTAAGGAACCGCAGAAAGAGGGGGAAGGAAGTCGAGTTTTGAAATGTCAAAATGATTGTAAAATCAGTGAAATTTATAAACCTGAAAAGTACAAAAAAAATTAGAAAAAGAAAAAACGAAAAAACAATTAACTAGCTTTTATATCATTCAAATTTTATGTACTGGCAATGAAACCCTTTCTACAGGACCTATTCCCCTGTAGGTCTAAGTTGAACTTTGCACTTTGATAACCTAGGCTGAATTTTAGCTGGTTTTAATTTGCACTGACAGCTGGAACCTCCGGCTGAACGTTTCTTCATCTCCAAGAGCAGCCTAACCTTTATAACCTGGGAAATTCTGCTTGCGGGTTTCCCACGGAGGAATCCAGTTCCTTATTTTTTCTATTCTTCCGCAGTCATATTGCATGCATATATATATTATGGCTGATCTTTGCAATCGATGGCTTGTTCCCGAGCTGCGCCGAGGGAGCAAAGCCATTGCAAAAATAAATAAAAGATAAAGCTCTAAAGTAGCTGTTGTGCCAATGCTGCAAATATTGAAATGCGTGTTGTTTGTGCACAAGAACACCTCATCGCTGTTGTTAAGGTAAAAGGTAAAGGTCCCCCTGCCCGTACGGGCCAGTCTTGCCAGACTCTAGGGTTGTGCGCTCATCTCACTCTATAGGCCGGGAGCCAGCGCTGTCCGCAGACACTTCCGGGTCACGTGGCCAGTGTGACAAGCTGCATCTGGCGAGCCAGCGCAGCACATGGAACGCCGTTTACCTTCCCGCTGGTAAGCGGTCCCTATTTATCTGCTTGCACCCGGGGGTGCTTTTGAACTGCTAGGTTGGCAGGCGCTGGGACCGAATGACGGGAGCGCACCCCGCCGCGGGGATTCGAACCGCCGACCATGCGATCGGCAAGACCTAGGTGCTGAGGTTTTACCCACAGCGCCACCCGCGTCCCGTTGTTACACTACATTAAAAACAGCCCACATACTGAATCATTATGAACCATTTCTAAATGAAACACCAGCACCGAGAGAGTCAAAAGGAGCCCGAAAGTCTAACAGTCCTGCAATGACCAGGCTGTTCGTGTTGCTGAATAGTTCCAAAGTCATCTTCTATAGTAGATCCTGTCTGTGAAAAGTCCACCCATCTGGGAAGCCTGCCCAGCAACAACCTTGTCATCGTTTGGGCTGCACCAATCATGGGAGGCTTTTACTCTTGACTTCTGTGTATTTTTTTTCTACTGTATTTTATTCTTGTAAATCATTTTGGGACCTTTTGATTATTAAGAAAGTCAATAATAAACTCACAGAGGAGAGGTCTATTGATGGCTACTAGCCACAATGACCATGCTCTGCCTCTGGCAGTTGGAGACAGTGATGTTTCGGAATGCTTGGACTGCTGCAATGCGCTCTACGTGGGGCTACCTTTGAAGGTAACCTGGAAACTACAACTAATCCAGAATGCGGCAGCTAGACTGGTGACTGGGAGCGGCCGCCGAGACCACACAACACTGGTCTTGAAAGACCTACATTGGGTCCCAGTACGTTTCCGAGCACAATTCAAAGTGTTGGTGCTGATCTTTAAAGCCCTAAACGGCCTCAAAGGCCCAGTAGACCTGAAGGAGCGTCTCCACCTCCATCGTTCAGCCCGGACGCTGAGGTCCAGCTCCAAAGGCCTTCTGGCTGTTCCATGTTTTGGACTCATGGCTGTCCATGGAGGCGCAGGTCAATTCTGTGTCCAGGGCAGCTCCATCTGCTACGCAGGATGAGACCCTCCCTGCCCACAGACTGTCTTGCCAGAGTGGTGCATGCTCTGGTTATCTCCTGCTTGGACTACTACAATGCGCTCTATGTGGGGCTACCTTTGAAGGTGACCTGGAAACTACAACTAATCCAGAATGCGGCAGCTAGACTGGTGACTGGGAGCGGCCGCCGAGACCACATAACACCGGTCCTGAAAGATCTACATTGGTTCCCAAGATGTTTCCGAGCACAATTCAAAGTGTTGGTGCTGACCTTGAAAGCCCTAAATGGCCTTGGTCCAGTATACCTGAAGGAGCGTCTCCACCCCCATCGTTCAGCCCGGACGCTGAGGTCCAGCTTCAAAGGCCTTCTGGCTGTTCTCTCCCTGCGAGAAGCCAAGTTGCAGGGACCCAGGCAGAGGGCCTTCTTGTTGGTGGCACCCGCCCTGTGGAACGCCTTCCCACCAGACGTCAAAGAGAAGAACAACTATCAGACTTTTAGAAGACATCTGAGGGCAGCCCTGTTTAGGGAAGCTTTTAATGTTTAATAGGTTATTGTATTTTAATGTTCTGTTGGAAGCCACCCACAATGGCTGGGGAAGCCCAACCAGATGGGCGGGGTATAAATTATTAATTATTAATTATTATTATTATTATTATTATTGCCAGTTCTTAGGTTCTTGTGGAGCCTCCAGCTCCAGAGGCAGTCTACCTTGTTTCCTAGGTCCTTAGGGTTATTTGGCCACTGTGAGGATACTGGACTAGATGGACCTCTAGTGGCCAGGCTCTTCTGAAATTTCCTGAAAAGTAAACGTCCTCTGGCCGACACACACACACACACACACACACACAACGTCTCCCCATCGTTTACCAGGTTGTTCTTAGTCTTGGCCACGTTTGGGTCATCGGGCCCCAGCCGGGTCTGGTAGATGCAGAGAGCCCTCTGGTAGTACTGCTCCACCTCCTCAAACTTTCCTTGGTTCTGGCACAGGAGCGCCAGGTTGTTCAGCTGCTTGGCCACGTCTGGGTGATCGGTGCCCAACACCTAAAAAACAAGAGTGGGTAAGAGATTCTAGCATTAGGACCTGGGAGAGAGCAGGGTTCAAATCCTCCCACTGGGTGTGACCTCGGGGGACAGTCACCGCCTCTCTCAGCCTGGCCTACGGAAGGAATGGGTTTCTGTGCAGTCAGTTTGAAACTGACCCCAAATCCCCATTTTCCCTCCTCCAAGGGAGCATTTCTAAAATGCTCTAACTTGAGCTCTTGAGCCATAACCCAGCTGTATAAACAAGTGTTCAAAGCTCTCTCCTTTATCAGTCCATGACGGCAATGGATGGCCTTGCCAGTTCCGAGTGGAGCAGGGATGGCACGTCTGGGTCTTATCTTACATCCTGAACACAAAGACGCACAGACCTTGTCAAGTCTGACAAGAGACCCGGGAACGGCGCCAGGAGTTGGTGACCTCCTGCCCCAAGATAAGAGTATAGGAACAGGAACAACCTTTTATGGTCAAGAGTACAGGAAGAGGAAAACCCTTTTATGGTTAAAAGTACCGGAGCAGGAACATCCGTGATGTCATCCTGCGTGTATAAGCTGACGTGGTTGGATTCCTGGGGAAGAGGGTGCCTGGAGGATATATATACTGCATGAAATTTCTCATTTCTTTGGACTTACTGTGGACTGACCACGCAAGTGCCTTCTGCTATCCGGAGAGCAGAATAAACTCTTTCTCTGAATCAACCTTGGTGTCATTTGACTTCCTTTCTCCCTCCCGGGAGCAACGCAGACCCCACCAGTCGGTAAAGTCTAAGAAGGCTACACTACCTCGCAGGGCTGAACCCCGAACCCATCCGAAAACATCAGGGGATTAGAACAGTGCTTCTAATTTGGAAATATGGAAACAACGATGAAAGCCAGGATTGAGATTTGGAGTTATGCTTCAAGGTCCAGACCATGGGAAGCCCGAAAAATTACCGTGATAATTGCAATTTGCAAGATAATTCGACCTTTTTTTATTTTAGTTTTTTATTGGATTGTGATTTGATATGTTAATTGGATCTTTTTTATTGGAAAATTAATACAAATGATTTAAAAACAAAACAAAACAGTGCTTCCCAGGCTTTTGAGAGCCACTCTCCCCTCAGTACCAGAAACTCAGCGATATTCAGAACAGCAGTCTGCACTTCCCACTAAGGAAGATACTGACACAATAAAATTATAACCGGGAATAATGAATTGCACGTTTGTTCCAAACCCAATGAAAACTATTGAGTTTAATTAGTTCAACAAAACGGATTGATTTGATCCTGTGATGCCAGCTTTACAAAGTCCGGATACTTGTTTTTGCGTTTTCAAACCATTTTTGTAAACTCAGGGGAGATGTTTCATCCCTGTTCTTGAGTTTGTTTAAAATCATTTAAGGTTAATGATTTCTCTATTTCCTTCAGAGGAAACTGAATAGTTCCGTGAAACGAGGTTTGTAGCCGGCATCCCTGTTCAATTCTATTTTTTCCTTAAACTTTTTGATTTTTGCTATTTAGTTTAATTCTATCAGATAATATTTCTAGTCAATTACTTCTCGATTCAGGGATTTTCACAGGTTTTCATTTGTTTTGTGTAATTTCTCATTTGTCTTTTTTGTCTTTTTTCTACTGGCCTACCTTTCAGGGCAGTTGCGGTGGGGATTAAATGAAGGGGGGCGGGAACCAGGCATATACCATCTAGAGCTCTTGGGGGGGGGTGAGATATAAATGCATTCATTCTCAGCTTTTTTTCTTTTAAAAAAGCAAGTTTTGGGAGAAAAGAAATGTGAGTTTGTGTACTTTTCTTTCAAAAAATGCAGATTGATGCAGTGCAATTTCCCCCTTTTAATTGCAGAGACTAGAAAGAGGATAATTTAGCCAGCCATATTGTCAGACCATCCTACTGTTAAAATGTGAATTTGAAAGACGGCTTTGTGTATTCCACGATTCTGGTCGGAGTCTGGCGCTCAGTGCTGAGATCTGCATAATCGGAACCTTGTCTGTCTGTATGGTTTGTTTTTCTAAGCAAAGTTAAGTTTCTAGTCCTTAAGACGGGTTGAATACGGTTTTTCTTGGGGTCTCTGGTAAAGCCTGTACCTTCTCTCGGATCTCTAAGGCTCTCTTGCAGAGCGGCTCGGCTTCTGTGTATTTTCCCCTCTTCCCGTAGAGCACGGCCAGGTTATTAAGAGTCGCAGCCACCTGTCAGAAACAGGAGGAAAGGTCTGTTTATTTCTATTTAATTTTTTTTAAAAAAACCTTTATTAAGCATTCCGCACAAATTTGCACAACAATACACCATGTTATATTTTCTACAAGCTACATGCACACACTTTACGTAGAAAAAGAAGAAAAGAAAAAATAGAGAGAGAAAAGAAGAAAATAAAAGATAAAGGATGGATAAAATAAAATAAACTTCCGATCATTCTCATTGTACTGTATCTCATTTGGTTATTTTATACACAGTATCTTATTGTTATTTTTTGTTTTTCTGGTATCACTGTATATACAGGGGGTACAGTGGTGTATCGCAAGACGAAATTAATTCGTTCCGCGAGTTTTGTCGTCTTGCGATTTTTTTCGTTTTGCGAAGCACGGTGTCGGAAAAGTTTTGGAAAAGCTTCAAAAATCACCAAAGTCTTCAAAAACCTCAAAAAAGGCTACCACACCGCGTTCTATGAGTTGCTCCTCGAAGTCAAGTCGCAACTGTATTAACGGTGTTAAGAAAAAGGAAACAAACTTGCAAGACGTTTCCGTCTTGCGAAGCAAGCCCATAGGGAAAATCGTCTTGCGAAGCAGCTCAAAAAACAAAAAACCCTTTCGTCTTGCGAGTTTTCCGTCTTGCGAGGCATTTGTCTTGCGAGGTACCACTGTATCAGGGTGGTTCACAGAATAAAATCAAAATATAAAACCACAAAATGCAGAATCAAAATAAAAATAACAGTACAGGGGTACCTCGGGTTAAGAACTTAATTCATTCCGGAGGTTCATTATTAACCTGAAACTGTTCTTAACCTGAGGTACCACTTTAGCTAATGGGGCCTCCCGCTGCCGCCGTGCGATTTCTGTTCTCATCCTGAAGCAAAGTTCTTAACCCGAGGTACTATTTCTGGGTTAGTGGAGTCTGTAACCTGAAGCATATGTAACCTGAGGTAAAGGTAAAGGTAAAGGGACCCCTGACCATTAGGTCCAGTCATGGCCGACTCTGGGGTTGCGGCGCTCATCTCGCTTTACTAGCTGAGGGAGCCGGCATACAGCTTCCAGGTCATGTGGCCAGCAGGACTAAGCCACTTCTGGCAAACCAGAGCAGCGCACGGAAACGCCGTTTACCTTCCCGCCGGAGCAGTACCTATTTATCTACTTGCACTTTGACATGCTTTTGAACTGCTAAGTTGGCAGGAGCAGGGACCGAGCAACGGGAGCTCACCCCGTCATGGGGATTCGAACCGCTGATCTTGTGATCGGCAAGCCCTAGGCTCTGTTTTTTAACCCACAGCGCCACCTCCATCCCTTGTAACCTGAGGTACCACTATACTAATAGGGACACCCTGAACTTGCGCAGGTAGCAAATCGGCAGCCAGTGAGCAGACCTCTGAGCGCAGGACTTCCATGCAGACAAGACCTCAATGCAGTCAGCAATTGTGCTGCAGCATTTGGCACTAACTGCACCATTTGGGGAGGGGCATTGGCCAAGCTCTCCTCACTGCCCCCCCTCGAAGGCCTAGCACCTTTTAAACACCACATCTTTGGGAGCCTGGACCATAAAGAAGGCTGATTGCCGAAGAATGGCTGCTTTTGAATTCTGGTGCTGGAGGAGACTCTTGAGGGTCCCATGGACTGCAAGAAGATCAAACCTATCCATTCTGAAGGAAATCAGCCCTGAGTGCTCACTGGAAGGACAGATTGTGAAGCTGAGGCTCCAAGACTTTGGTCACCTCAGGAGAAGAGAAGACTCCCTGGAAAAGACCCTGATGTTGGGAAAGATGGAGGGCACAAGGAGAAGGGGATGACAGAGGACGAGATGGTGGGACAGTGTTCTCGAAGCTACCAGCATGAGTTTGACCAAACTGCGGGAGGCAGTGGAAGACAGGACGGCCTGACGTGCTCTGGTCCAGGGGGTCACGAAGAGGCGGACATGACTAAACGACTAAACAACAACAAATCTTTGGGAGCACAAGAGACTCTTCAAAACTTCCAAGGGCGTCCAGAAGAGTTGTATTTTTACTAAGAGAGTGACCTGCCCCTCCCAAGAAAAATGGTGTGATGGCCTGGGATTCAGACTCGGACCTGAGGAATCCCAGCTTGCACAGGAGTCCCTGCCTCCAGAACCAGCTGAGCCGGGGCTGGGGCCTGAGCCTGAAGGGTCCTCACCTGTGCTGGATCCTCAGATGCAGGCTCCAGCTGAGTCTGCTCTGGCTCCTGAGGTGATGGAGGACCCATTGCCTGCAGGTCCTCCACTCTCAGCCCCATCAGGGGAAGGTGAGGTTGCCTCTGGGTCTGGTAACCCTCCAGCCTCTCCTGAGCTACAGAAGCTCAGGGCAGAGAGGCGGAGGGAACTAAGTTCTCACAGGGGGAGTGCTCGCCTCCAGGCCAGGAGAGGCGAGTCACCTGAGGATCGGGGCTGCCCTATGCCTTGGGGCAGATAAAAGCCGGCCAGCCCCAGCCCCAGGTTGCGGGAGCAACATTGTTGGTCACCAGTTCCTGCCTCAACTCCGTCCTGCGTTCCTGACCTCACCTGACTCCCTGCCCTGCACCCAGCTCCAACTTTTACGGACTGCCTCCATATTGCACCTTTGACCTCAGACTGGACTTGGACCTCGCCTCTCGATTAACCCACGGGATCAGCACAAATGATCTCTGCCCCCCACCCATCCAAATACTCCCAGAGGAGAAGACACAAGGAAGAGAAGCCTTAACAGGACCCAAGTATCATCACCCTCCACCGAGCCCCGGGCGGACACTCACGGCAGGGTGCTCCACACCCAGAGTCTGCTCCCGGATATCGAGCGCATCGTTCAGCAGCTCTGTGGCCTCCTTGTACTTGTTCTGGTCCCTGCGGCGGAAGAAGTCGGCAGCATGGAAAGAAACAGGAGATTGGAAAATGTTTATTGAATATATGAGAAATAACAGCTTACAGCTGAAAATGCTGGCAGCATTGAGATGAATTCAACAGTGTAAATAAGTTTTGGTGGATGCAGTAATGGAGTACTGAACGGTATAGTTTTTGTAAACTATGCAGGGGTTTATTATATGGAACTTGAACCATGGAAAGAGAAGAAGGGAAGTCGCTGATAACTTAGGGATGTATAAATGAGGACTTTAAATTGTAAAATAGAAAATTTAATTATAGATAGATATAGATAGATAGACAGACAGAGAGAGAGATGGCCTTCAATTTGAATTAGCCTGATCCTCTATTCCCTTTTCCCTTTCCTCTTCTACGAAGAAACCCTTTCTGGGACCCCACATTTAAATTCTTCCCTGGTCTCCGTGCTGGCCCTAGTAGGACCAACTTGGCCAGTTAGCCCTGGTGATCATTTGATGTGTACTGACTGGGGTTTCCCCCCCAAAAAATAATCCCTGAATTTTTGAATTTTATTGATATTGATGCTGCATTTTAAGTTGTATTTTATGCTGTTTTTAAGTCGCATTTTAAGCAATGTTTTATATTTGCTGTTAGCCACCCTGAGCCCAGTTTTTAAACCGGGAAAGGGGGTTTAAATACAAATTTATTACTAGTATTTATTAATTATTATTATTATTATTATTATTATTATTATTTCATGCAAAAAGCATTGGTGCCTCAGCCACGCCTGCAGAAGTCCTGAGAAGGAGACGGCGTCTGAATGCAGAACATTTCTAAAAGGTGCAACTTTGGGCTCCTGCAGAGGATGCTTATAGAATTGGGGAGTCGGCAGGGGCACCCAAAGGCCATCTAGCCCAACCCCCTGCAATGCAGGAATCAAAGCTCTAAGTCTTCTCTTTCCAAGGCTCTTCTCAGCAGCCCGGGACCCTTTCCCACACAACACCCCCCCTGCCACCCCCCTTACCTATAAACCAAGGCTAAGATGTTCAGCATGGTGGCCACATCTGGGTGGCTGTGTCCAGAGCTCTTCTCTAGGTCTTCCAGCGCCTGTTTGCAGAGGGGGACGGCCACTTCGTAGCGCCCCTGAGAGGCGTACTGGATCACCAGGTTGTGGAGGGTCCGCAGCCGAGCCGGGATCTCGTAGCCCCCTTGCTGAGCGGCCGAAGCGGCTGCGCTCGGGTTCCCTCCTGCCGCAGACAAGAGAGACAGGTAAGTCGGGCCCACTGCGGGAGGAGATTCTTGAACCCAGAACCCATCCGAAAACGTCGGGGGGTTGGAACAGTGTTTCTAATGTGGAAATATGGAAACGACGACGAAAACCAGGATTGAGATTTGGAGTTATGCTTCAAGGTCCAGACTATGGGAAAATTAATAATTGCAATTGGGAAGATAACTCGACCTTTTTTATTTTAGTTTTTTATTGGATTGTGATTTGATATGTTAATTGGATGTTTTTTATTGGAAATTAATACAAATGATTTAACAAAAAAAAGAAAAGAAAAAGAAACAACAACAGTGTTTCCCAAACTTTTGAGAGCCACTGTCCCCTCGGTTCCAGAAACTCAGCGTTATTCAGAATAGCAGTTTGCACAACCCACTAAGGAAGATAATGACACAATAAATTAGGTCCAGTCACGGACGACTCTGGGGTTGCGGCGCTCATCTCGCTTTATTGGCGGAGGGAGCCGGCGTACAGCTTCCAGGTCATGTGGCCAGCATGACTAAGCCGCTTCTGGCGAACCAGAGCAGCGCACGGAAACGCCGTTTGCCTTCCCGCCGGAGCGGTACCTATTTATCTACTTGCACTTTGACGTGCTTTCAAACTGCTAGGTTGCCAGGAGCAGGGACCGAGCAATGGGAGCTCACCCCGTCGCGGGGATTCGAACTGCCGACCTTCTGATCGGCAAGTCCTAGGCTCTGTGGTTTAACCCACAGCGCCACCCGCGTCCCAATAAAATTATAATCGGGAATAATTAATTGCACGTTTGTTCAAAACCCAATTAAAACTATTGAGTTTAATTAGCTGAACAAAACTGATTGATTTGATCCTGTGATTTTCAAAGTCCGGATACTTGTTTGCACCTCCAAGCACCCTCCCTTTGCATATTAGTGCTGCCCCCAAGTCACCCCACTGCCCCCCACAAGCGGGAGAAGCCACCCACTGGGTTAGAATATGGCCTTCACTGGGGTGGGGTGAAGGTTAAACACAACCCCATGTAACCCAGCCGAAAGCTGGCCCTCCTGTCTAGCTACCAGAAAGAAGACCAGTAGGAGTTTTAGGTTACTAACCAATCACTTAATTCCACTTTCCCAAGACATTCTATCTCTGACCGCGGGGTCACCACACCAGGGAAGGAAAATAAGAACGAACCCAAGAAGGGGGTGCTGGATCAGGCCAAGGGCCCGTCTAGTCCAGCATCCTGCCTTCACAGTGGCCAACCAGCTGCCTGTGCGAAACCAGCAAAGCAGAATTCAAGCACAAGAGGAACTCTCCCTTCCTGCTGTTTCCATCGACTAGGATTCAGAATCATTGCTGCAACCAACCCCTAAAACAGCAACGTGGGTGGCGCTGTGGGTAAAAGCCTCAGCGCCTAGGGCTTGCCGATCGAAAGGTCGGCGGTTCGAATCCCCGCGGTGGGGCGCGCTCCCGTTCTTCGGTCCCAGCGCCTGCCAACCTAGCAGTTCGAAAGCACTCCCGGGTGCAAGTAGATAAATAGGGACCGCTTACTAGCGGGAAGGTAAACGGCGTTTCCGTGTGCTGCACTGGCTCGCCAGATGCAGCTTTGTCACACTGGCCATGTGACCCGGAAGTGTCTCCGGACAGCGCTGGCCCCCGGCCTCTTGAGTGAGATGGGCGCACAACCCTAGAGTCTGTCAAGAATGGCCCGTACGGGCAGGGGTACCTTTACCTTTACCTTGCTATCTAACACAGGCTTCCTCAAACTCTCCCCCCCCCGATGTTTTTGGCCTACAACTCCCATGATCCCTAGCTAACAGGACCAGTGGTCAGGGATGATGGGAATTGTAGTCTCAAGACATCTGGAAGGCCGAGGTTGAGGAAGCCTGATCTAACAAGACCATTGATCCATAAAATGAAAGCAATGAACAATGTACTGCAATCACACAATCAATCAATCGGTAGCTGAACTGGGTTCCTCACCGTCGCAAAAACAAAACAAAAAGAGCCGCAAAAACGCAAAATAAATAGCAAAAACAGGCAGACCTCAGCGTAACACTCAAATCGGAAGCGTAACACTCAAATTGGAGAATTTTCGGCTTCTGAAAAAAGTTTGCAAACCAGAACACCTACTTCCTGGTTTGCAGTGTTTGGGTTCCAAGTTGTTTGAGCACCAAAGCGTTTGAGAACCAAGGGACCACTGTAGTCCTGCCCCCCACCCCAAATGGAGGGCACCCAGTTGGGTAATGCCAGCCTGAGGTGCTGCTTTTGTGCAACTGGAAACAGAAAGTTGACTTGAAGCCAGAAATGAGCTCCAACTGAACCTCTGGACGGGCCTTGGTTTCATCACAAGTTGGGGTTAAGCCTCAAAAGACATGCGCAGGTTAATGCGCATCATCGGCTCATGTACGCACCCTGCCTCTGCTCATCGTCATCGTTGGGGAAGAGCGAAGACAGGCTGTCCTTCCTCTGCTCCGAGTCGTCCTTCTCCGCCTGCAAAGAGAGTAAACGCAAGTCCTGCATCTCCTGGCTTAGAAATAATAATAATAATAAATAATAATAATAATAATAATAATTTATTTGTACCCCGCCCATCTGGCTGGGTTTCCCCAGCCACTCTGGGCGGCTTCCACAGAGACCAAAAATACACTAAAATGTCACATATTAAAAACTTCCCTGAACAGGGCTGCCTTCAGATGTCTTCTAAATGTCAGGTAGCTGTTTATCACTTTGACATCTGATGGGAGGGCCATCCACAGGGCAGGCGCCACCACCGAGAAGGCCCTCTGCCTGGTTCCCTGTAGCTTTGCTTCTCTCAGTGAGGGAACCTCCAGAAGGCCCTCGGCGCTGGACCTCAGTGTCCGGGTAGAATGATGGGGGTGGAGATGCTCCTTCAGGTATACTGGGCCTTTGAGGCTGTTTAGGGCTTTAAAGGTCAACACCAACACTTTAAATTGTGCTCGGAAATGTACTGGGAGCCAGTGTAGGTCTTTCAAGACCGGTGTTATGTGGTCTCAGCGGCCACTCCCAGTCCCCAGTCTAGCTGCCGCATTCTGGATTAGTTGTAGTTTCTGGGTCACCTTCAAAGGTAGCCCCGCATAGAGCGCATTGCAGTAGTCCAAGCGGGAGATAACCAGAGCATGCACCACTCTGGCGAGACAGTCTGCGGGCAGGGAGGGTCTCATCCTGCGTAACAAATGGAGATGATAAACAGCTGCCCTGGACACAGAATGGACCTGCGCCTCCATGGACAGCTGTGAGTCCAAAATGACTCCCAGGCTGCGCACCTGGTCCTTCAGGGGCACAGTTGGTTGTTTCAGGACCAGGGAGTCCTCCATACCCACCCTCCTCCTGTCCCCCCAAAACAGTACTTCTGTCTTGCCAGGATTCAACCTCAATCCATTAGCTGCCATCCATCCTCCAGAAAGCACAAATTGCAAAGTCAAAGCAGGTGGGAGGTTTTGCTGTGTTCACCAAGAAATACAGGGAAGATTTATAGCACCGGGTAGCATAATGGCATTTTACTAGACGGACAGATTGTGCAGAATCATTCATGTCATGCAAAGCACCGTTCTGCTGGGGGGGGGGCGGTTATTAAGAAATGAAACGAGAGCTATGAAAGTATCCGGATGACAATGACCACTGGCTGCACAAATCCATCACATGAGATTTTCCCAAGTTCCAAGCTCACGTTGCATTCAAAAGAATCATGTTTCTAGGCCTTAATGAGCAAGGCTTTGACTCACACGCGCGGAATGTTTCTGACTTTGCAAAAATGCACCTGTGCTGCAAAGTTGCAGCATGAGCACACAGGATCTTCCGGAGAGAGAAACCCCAGACAGCCCTTTCCTCATAAATGAACCACTTGGGCTATAGAGAGAGGGTACCAAGGGAAGCTTTGGGGAAGGGGCAAAGCTCAGTGCCTCGCATGGAGAAGGTCCCGGGTTCAGTCCCTGAAGGAAGGGCAGGGAAAGACTCCGTCCTGAAGTTCTGCAGAGCCATCAGTGTGGGCAACGTTGAGCGACAGAGGTGGGCGAGTGTGGAGGACTCCCTGGTCCTGAATGGGGCAACTGTGCCCCTGAAGGACCAGGTGCGCAGCCTGGGAGTCATTCTGGACTCACAGCTGTCCATGGAGGTGCAGGTCCATTCTGTGTCCAGGGCAGCTGTCTGCCAGCTCCGTCTGCTATGCAGGATGAGACCCTCCCTGCCTGCAGACTGTCTTGTAAGAGTGGTGCATGCTCTGGTTATCTCCCGCTTGGACTACTGCAATGCGCTCTATGTGGGGCTACCTTTGAAGGTGGCCCAGAAACTACAACTAATCCAGAATGCGGCAGCTAGACTGGGGAGTGGGAGCGGCCGCCGAGACCATATAACACCGGTCCTAAAAGACCTACATTGGCTCCCAGTATGTTTCCGAGCACAATTAAAAGTGTTGCTGCTGACCTTGAAAGCCCTTAACAGCCTCAGTCCAGTATACCTGAAGGAGCATCTCCAACCCAATTATCCAGCCCCGAGGGCCTTCTGGCAGTTCCCTCCCTGCGAGAAGTGAGGTTACAGGGAGCCAAGCAAAGGGCCTTCTTGGTGGTGGCGCCCTCCCTGTGGAACGCCCCCCCACCAGATGTCAAAGAGAAAAATAACTACCAAACTTTTAGAAGACACCTGAAGGCAGCCCTGTTCAGGGAAGTTTTTAATGTCTGATGTTTTATCTTTTTAAACTATTATTATCCATTAATTCTGTTGGGAGCCGCCCAGTGTGGCTGGGGAAACCCAACCAGATGAGGAGGGTATAATTATTATTATTATTATTATTATTATTACTACTACTACTACTACATGGGCCAGGCGGTCTGCATATTCAAAATACTGCATTCCTGAAAACCAAGGGAGATTGGAAATGCGATTCGGGGAGCTTTGCAGGACGAGCATTTCGAACATCTCCTTTTGGGTGGGGTCTGAGGATCTGCTCCAATAAATAATAAAATAATAATAATAATAATATTTATACCCCGCCCAGCCACTCTGGGCGGCTTCCAACAGAATATTAAAATACAATAATCTATAAAACATTAAAAGCTTCCCTAAACAGGGCTGCCTTCGGATGTCTTCTAAAAGTCTGGTAGTTGTTTACCTCTTTGACATCTGGTGGGAGGGCGTTCCACAGGGCGGGCACCACTACCGAGAAGCCCTCTGCCTGGTTCCCTGTTCACCAAGGCCTGGTGGAATGAATAATCGAGGGGATCTGGTTAGTTTTCAAAGGTGCTGGGGCTGACGGCTGCTGAGAGGCCTCTTGCCTCCGTGGCTCGCCCTCTGATCCTGGGTAGGATTTGGATTTGCTGGGAGTAAGGACAAGGCACTTTGCGCATGCTTAGAGAGCTCTGTCCAGCATTACAGATTCAGTAGAAGGCAGCTTCGGATGTCCCTGCGACTCTCATTTTGGGGATCGAACGTGCAACACATCCCCCTGTCCATACCTGGTCATCCCTCGGGTCATATTGCCTGAGCTGATTGAGGAATTCAAGGTGCTTCTTTTCCTCCTCCAACTGCGCCACCGATTCCTCGCTGTGCTGAAGGCGCAGTTGGGTGAGCGCCAACTCGTCCCGCAGCCAGAGGTTCTCCTGGCAGAGACGCTTGACCTGAGCTCGCAGCTTCTGTTTCTCCGCCTCCAGCGACCCAATGTGAGAGGACAAAGCTACCATCATCTGTAGGGCAGAGCGAGATGGGGTTGGGGGAAAGGAAACTGGGTTTGTAGGTGGACTCTTTGCAAACTCTAAACTTCTGCAGCCCCCACGACAACAACTCCCCCTGCCTGGTTTAAGAGACTGGTGGCTGGATCAAGCCAAATAGCCCACTATCCTTTTCTCACAGTGGCCAAATGCTCCATAGAACCCAGATAGACTGCCTCTGAACCTGGAGGTTCCATAAAAATATCAGGAGAGCCAGGAGAGTCTCTCGTGCTCCATTTGCAGCTCTCAGTTCCATCAGGCGGGGCGGGAGGAAGGGGGGAGGAAATAGTGCCTGAAGTAAACCCGCAGATCAGACCATCTATGCTAGTCTACCACTACAAATCTATGGGAGAAGCGCTTGCGGTCCTTCCCTTGTAGCCCTTGGAACACCTGCCCGCGCCTCCGCCTCCTCTCTCTGAACTGCTTTCTCTATGGTTGCCCTCGCTCTCCTCTCAAGGCTCCTCAGCAATTCATAGGCCATGCCAGGCTGCCCATCTCATCTGGGTCCTTCGGTGGCATAGCCGCAGTACTAATGGGAGCGGCGGCCCCAGGCAGAGACACTCAGTTCGGCGGCCGCAAGGAGGATGGCGGCGGAAGGGCCCAAGGCTCCCACCAGTCCCGGTGGGGAGGGGCTCCCAGGGGCCGAGGCTGGTGAGAGGAGGCCGGAGGGGGGCGGGCCGGGCAGCCAAGCAACAGTTGGAGCCTCCCTCCTCCCTGGCCGGCAAGGAGGGAGGGAGAGGAGCTGCTTCCTTTGAAACCTGGGAAATTTAAGGGACATCCATCAATAAGGGACAGCAGCGGGACACGGCGCTGGGATAAGGCACTGTCCCTCCAAATAAGGGACACTTGACAGCTATGAGTGGGAGGGAGTTCCGTAGGTTAACTACGAGCTGCATGAAGAAGTCCTTGCTTTTATCAAAAGCATAAGTTGTTTGTTATACAATGCACCAGGAGTTGCCAAAAGAGTGGCACACACTAATTACGGCAACCTTTTCTATTAGCTACAACCTAATGCTCTTTTCGAGCCTAATTTCAGCAGTGGGGAAAGGCAGGGTAGTGGATGCCATGGGTACCAGGGAAGGCTTCTGCAGGAAAATCTCTGCCCCTGGGCCAAAGGGGAAAGGCTCCAGAAAACCGAACCACCCTCATTCAAAACTATGTGCAAAAGTTGTATTTAGTATATACCAAATAAACTTAAGTGTTGGAATTCAATGAATTATATTGCATTAAGTTTCAGAAGTGGAACAACAGGTGTACCACCATCTTGAGTTTGATGGGAAGGTGGGATAAATAAAGCAAAATGTTTAAAAAGAAGAAGAAGTCCTTGCTTTTATCAGCCCTGAACCTCAACTTCATCCGATGTTCACGAGCTCTTGCGTTACAACACAGAGAAAAACTTTTCTCTTGCCGCGTTCCTCATGCCACGCATACCGTATATTTCGCTCTATAGGACGCACTTTTTCCCCTCCAAAAATTAAGGGGAAATGTGTGTGCATCTTATGGAGCGAATGCAGGATCCTTGGCTTCAGCGATAGCAACGAGAAGCCTCCAAAGCACAGAGGGAGCGCTCCCTCCGCGCTCCGGAGGCTTCACGTTGCTTTCGCTGAAGCCTGGAGAGCGAGAGGGGTCAGTGCGCACTGACCCCTCTCGCTCTCCAGGCTTCAGGGATAGCCGCCTGAAGCCTCTGGAACACAGTGGGAGGTCCCGCTGCGCTCCGGAGGCTTCAGGTTCCTTTTGCTGAAGCCGGGAGAGCAAGACTCTCCTGGCTTCAGCAGAGAGGGAGAGCTGCGCAGCGCCCCTTCAGCGAAGCAGGAGGAGAAATGGAAGGGGCTCCGTTTCTCCTGCCGCTTCGCTGAAGGAGCGCTGCGCAGAGAGGGGGAGAATTTTTTTCTTCCTGTTCTCCCCCTCCTATGGTCCGCTGCATCCTATAGAGTGAAAAAATCGGTAATTTTACAATCGCCTATCCCGCGGCCCCTTCCTCGCTTTTTCTCCAAACTGAAAACCCTCAAAAACCTGCAGCTTTTGCAATCGCTCCATCCCCTCGATCATTTTGGTCGCCCTTTTCCCGAAGCTTTCCCAACCCTACCGTATCATTTTGCAGGTGAGGTGGCCACGATCCCCAGCATCGCCACCCCAGCCTGCCTCTCAGGCACCTCTTTCCCCATTTTTTGCGGGGGGAGGGCCTTGCCCCCACAGATTCCCAAAACATGAAACCTCTCTCGTGTCAGGTTCTCCCCACAACCCCCAACTGAACCCAGATTTCGGTTCCTTCCCAGAAATTGTGAACATCCGCCACCCTCCGAAGCTGGAACTCTGGCAGACATTCTGTGACATCACAGCAGCCCAGCCAATGGCTTCGCTGCAGCGTACCTGGGCCTCCGCAATGCCCAGCTCAATCCCTTCCAGACTTTTATAGATGAGGTCGTGCTTTTCCTCCAGCAGCTCCAGCGCCTGCATGTCCACGGCCTCCGCATCTGCCTCCACGGCCTCCTCTCTCTCGTCCAGGAGCTGCCTGTCCCTCAACAGAGCCTCCTGCAGCCGGTGATGGATGCTCTTGTTCTCGCTGCGCAGAGCCTCCAGCCCTTTCATCACCTGCCGTGTGTGGACGATGATGTCGTCGGCCGTCATCCTCTCCGATTGGTTGTCGCCAATCTCCACCAGGACCGACATGGCGGGGTCAAGTCAGCCGGGAAGGAGAGGGGAAGAGGAGCCCAGAGGTGGTGTCTCCGCGCTTTGGGCGATGCTCAGCTTCTGGAAAAAGAAAAATAGGTACTGGGGTCAAGGCCCGAGTTGCGGCTTTCGAGAATGTAGCTTCTCCTCCGATCGCAGCAGTGAGGGCTGCTTGGCACTCTGCACAGACTCAGAAACCTAGCCAGGTGGGCAGGGTATAAGTCATAATAATCATAATACAGTGGTAGCTCGGGTTACATACACTTCAGGTTACAGACTCCGCTAACCCAGAAATAGCACCTCGGGTTAAGAACTTTGCTGTAGGATGAGAACAGAAATTGTGCTCCAGTGGCACGGCAGCAGCAGGAGGCCCCATTAGCTAAAGTGGTGCTTCAGGTTAAGAACAGTTTCAGGTTAAGAACGGGCCTCCGGAACGAATTAAGTACTTAACCCGAGCGCAAAATATGGTCTGAAGCTCAACATCAAAAAAACAAAGATCATGGCCACTGGGCCCATCACCTCCTGGCAAATAGAAGGGGAAGAAATGGAGGCAGTGAGAGATTTTACTTTCTTGGGCACCATGATCGCTACAGATGGTGACAGCAATCACGAAATTAAAAGACGCCTGCTCCTTGGGAGAAAGGCGATGGCAAACCTAGACAGCATCTTAAAAAGCAGAGACACCACCTTGCCAACAAAGGTCTGTATGCTTTTCCCAGTAGTGATGTATGGAAGTGAGAGCTGGACCATAGAGAAGGCTGATCGCCGAAGAATGGATGCTTTTGAATTCTGGTGCTGGAGGAGACTCTTGAGAGTCCCATGGACTGCAAGAAGATCAAACCTCTCCATTCTGAAGGAAATCAGCCCTGAGTGCTCACTGGAAGGACAGATCCTGAAGCTGAGGCTCCAAGACTTTGGCCTCCTCCTGAGAAGAGAAGACTCCCTGGAAAAGAGCCTGATGTTGGGAAAGATGGAGGGCACAAGGAGAAGGGGACAACAGAGGACGAGATGGCGGGACAGTGTTCTCGAAGCTACCAGCATGAGTTTGACCAAACTGCGGGAGGCAGTGAAAGACAGGAGTGCCTGGCGTGCTCTGGTCCAGGGGGTCACGAAGAGTCAGACACGACTAAACGACTAAACAACAACCACTGTAATCATTGTTGTTGTTTAGTCCTCCCCAACCAAGACTGGGCATCAGGTATAAAAACAATTGATTAAAATACAACTTAAAAACAACATTAAAATGCAGCCTCATTTCTGTAGAAACTCAAATCAAAAACTTTTTGGGGATGGAAACGTCAAATCTTCACCAAGGCCAACTATCCAGACTGGTCCTACATGGGCCAGAAAAAAACCAGGCAAGTCCCCAAATAGGAGTTCCATCACAGGAGGAAAGAGGAAAGAGGGGAAGGGGATCAAGTTGATTCCAAGCCAAAGGCCAGTACTAAAATTATCATTATTTCAGGGCCAGTTCCAAGCCCAGCTCTTTATTTGCTCTGGATCCACTAAGGCAGAATCCATCGCTTATTTTTTTTTTTATCCAACAGGATTTATATATTGCATAAATCATCCCTTAAACAGTTCACACATTGGAATATAAAATGTTCATCGTTACGTATTATAAAATTGAATGCTAAAAAGCAAATTAAGCTAAAAATGATCAATATATGATTTCGGTTAAGAAATATACGCTACCAAATAAAACTCTAAAATTCTAAAGGAATAACCGGGAGCGGGGATCAGATTTTTGCCATGCTTTTTATTAAAAGAACCCAAATTCAGAAATGTGGAGGGGAGGAAAATTAACACCTGCAATATTTTCTGGCACTGGATGCAAGTTTGCTCTAAGTTTGGGATTTAGCAATACAAAGTAAAAAAACCCACCCCTAAAAAGGTTGGTGATCTCACCAGCCAGACAGGAGATACCGGTAAACTGCAGCAGACAAGCTGAGCTTAGTCCGAGGTTTGGCGGACCCTCACGGGAGACGGTTTGGCCGGCTCCCTTCTCACCCCTTGGGAAGGTTTCGCCGTGGCAGCCTCCTTTCGTCACCTCGGCTCTCGCCAGAACAGGTCCCGCCAGCGGACGCGCCCGCCAGAACAAGCCGGAGCGCGTTTGCTGGCAGAGAGTTCTCTGCCTCCGTGCAAAAAACACGAAGCGAGTGCTTAAGAAGGCGAGAAAACACGCCGGATCATCGACCCAGGGCAGCCTTTCCCAGCTAGAGATATTCCAGATGTTTTGGACTACAGCAGAACATAAGAGGAGGTTGCTGGATCAGGCCAAAGAGGGAACCATCTGGTGCAGCATCCGCTTCTCAAAGGAGCCGACCAGACGCCCATTATGGGAAACCTGCAAACAGGATTTGAACACAGAGCCCTCTCCTTCTGGTTTTCAGAGGTTTTGCTGCCTCCAACTGGGGAGAGCAGAGCTAATAGCCATCGATAGCAGCCCTCTCCTCCTCTATTAATTGTCAAATCCTTTTTTAAAGCCTTGCAAGTTGGTGGCCATCTGTGCCTCCAGTGGGAGGGAGTTCCATAGGCTAACTAGGCAGTGCAGGAAGAAGGACTTTCTTTTCTCCAACTGAATCTTCAGTCAGCTTCCCTGGCTGCCCACGAGTCGTGAGGGAGGAGGGTAACTTTTCTCTAGGCAATTTCTCTATGCCATGCCTTATCTTATAAGCTTCCATCATGTTGCTTTCCTATTCACCTTTTCCAAAATGTTTCACAGTCCAAAATGTTGCAACTGTTCTTCACAGAGGAGTGGCCCCTATTTTGGTTGCCCTTTTCTAACCGTATAATAATAATAATAATATCTTTATTGTCATTATTATTATTATTAATGTCCTTTTTGAAACAAGGCAACCAGCAAACCTGGTTGGGGAAGGCTGACTTAATGTGTGCAACATTAAGAACATAATTTACGCGGCACAGTAACAAAATAATCGTCATAATAGCCCCCCACCCCAGTTTTAACAGGCCATAGATTATTTAACAGCTGAAGACCCCTAGGTAAAGAGAACTGCTTTCGCCTGGTGCCTGAAGACACGGAATGAAGGCTCCAGGCGAGCCTCTCTGGGGAGAGCCTTCCACAGACAGGGAGCCACCACTGATAAGGCCCTGCTTTTGTGTTGGCGCCCTCCGAACCTCTCATGAAGGACCTCAGATGATGATTGCGAGGCCCTGGTCAATTTGTATGAGGAGAGGCGGTCCTTAAGGTATTGAGGTCCTGAGCTGTGAAAGGCTTCATCGGTCAGCACCAGCACTTTAAATTGGGCCCGGACACTAACTGGAAGATTTGGGAGAGCTCCAGTCTGCAGACACACCTCTCCCTTCCATCGGATCTAGGCTCCAAGACTCTGCCCCAACTGCTACACTAGCTTTTCCCACCCTTGGGTCCCCAGAGGTTGCTAGACTACAACTCCCATCATTCCCACCCAGCATGGCAATCGTCAGGGATGATGGGAGTTGTAGTCCAACAGCCCCTGGGGGACGTCGATTCAAGCCCAACAATTTTCTAGGTGTTGTTCTACCTGGAAATGAGAAGCAGAGGCCTATTGGGTAGGACTAAAGGCCTCTTCGGACGCGGGTGGCGCTGTGGGTAAAACCTCAGCGTCTAGGACTTGCCGATCACATGGTCGGCGGTTCAAATCCCCACGGCGGGGTGCGCTCCCGTCATTCGGTCCCAGCGCCTGCCAACCTAGCAGTTCGAAAGCACCCCTGGGTGCAAGTAGATAAATAGGGACCGCTTACCAGCGGGAAGGTAAACAGCGTTCCGTGTGCTGCGCTGGCTTGCCAGATGCAGCTTCGTCACGCTGGCCACGTGACCCGAAGTGTCTGCAGACAGCGCTGGCTCCCGGCCTCTTAAGTGAGATGAGCGCACAACCCTAGAGTCTGTCAAGACTGGCCCGTACGGGTAGGGGTACCTTTACCTTTTACCTTTACCTTAAAGGCCTCTTCAGGCTGGCATCCTGTTTCTGGAGAGCACCCAACCCCACCTTCCTGGGAGGCCCAAAAGCAGCCAGGCCCTCCCCAGTTTAGCACACACACTCGCCTAGGGCGACTCAGAAGCTTTTCTAGGCAACCCAACAGGGGACCTTTCCTGAGTCAGGACAAAAAGTGACTCTCCTATCCCTCAGTTCTGAAGAAGACAAATGACGAATGCCAGCCCATCCGGGCCCGTCAATTTCACGAAGTTTTGCAGAGCGGGTGGCGCTGTGGGTTAAACCACTGAGCCTAGGGCTTGCCAATCAGAAGGTCGGCGGTTCGAATCCCCGCGGCGGGGTGAGCTCCCATTGCTTGGTCCCTGCTCCTGCCAACCTAGCAGTTCAAAAGCACGTCAAAAGTGCAAGTACAGTGGTACCTCGGGTTAAGTACTTAATTCGTTCCGGAGGTCCGTTCTTAACCTGAAACTGTTCTTAACCTGAAGCACCACTTTAGCTAATGGGGCCTCCTGCTGCCGCCGCCGCGCCATCGGAGCACGATTTCTGTTCTCATCCTGAAGCAAAGTTCTTAACCCGAGGTAATATTCCTGGGTTAGTGGAGTCTGTAACCTGAAGCATAAGTAACCAGAGGTACCACTGTAGATAAATAGGTACCGCTCCGGCTGGAAGGTAAACGGCGTTTCCGTGCGCTGCTCTGGTTCGCCAGAAGCGGCTTAGTCATGCTGGCCACATGACCCAGAAGCTGTACGCCGGCTCCCTCCGCCAATAGAGCGAGATGAGCGCCGCAACCCCAGAGTTGGCCACGACTGGACCTCTAATGGTCAGGGGTCCCTTTACCTTTACACACATTGCACCCAGGGAGCCAGAGGTCCCTCAGCTCCAAGTCCCGAGAAGGATGAACGCAGGCCGGCTTGCAATGCGCAAAGAGAAGGCCGGGATCTGGCGCATGGATTGTGTGCAGCGCAGCCTCGCCTGTGCATGGTCCAAGACTCTGGGGGAGCCACTCCTACCTGCTTTTGTCAGCTCGCTTTGAAATATCACACACACACCCACACACCCAGCATCCTCCTGGATTGCTTGTGCAATGGGATGGGCTCAGTTTGCAAGCAATATGTCTGCCCCGGCCAGGGAGTGGTGCTTGCATGGAAATGCAGGGATGATGACCTCAAGCCTTACAACAGCGTTCCCCAACCTGGTGCCCCCACTCTGACATTTCAGACTACAACTCCCACCAGCTCCAGCCAGCACCTGACGGGAACTGTAGTCCGAAACCTCCGAGGGCCTCCTGGAAGTTGCTGACTCTCAGCCAGAGGTTCAAGACCCACCTCGGCACACTTTCAAAAACAACATTTTATTTTGATTATTGATTCCAATTTATTTACACACCCACCCACCCTTTACAACAAGGTCCCTGGGCTGGGTTACAGCAACCACAGCCCTAACATAAATAAAAAAAACAAAACAGTTTGAAACAAGCTAAAATGGCAGAACTAAAGGTGGGAATTAGCTGCGAGGAACTAATTCCCTGGGAATTAGCTCCCAGGAACGAAAGGGCGCTGACTTCTGACGAGAGGCGCTCAAGTCTTGCCAGATCAGAAGGCGCTTCCCAGCCTACTTTCCTCCTTTTATTCATGAAGTCGCCTTGCAGCGCCTCGGGTACTTCGTCGTAAACAAGAAAAAAAGATTAATTTTTTTTTTTAAACCCACAAACCGTCAACAGTGGGAGGAGCAGCAAGCTTCAGAACAAAAGTCCGGCGGGGAGAAAGAGGGTCTTTTATTTTCTCCTTACCTGCCTCAGAAGGAGGGAGAAGGACGCGCTTTGGGGGGGCGGGTAGAATCCAGCCCCCTTTTATTCTGCCCCTCCTGCGAGAAAAGCGCACACAGCTGGCGCGCAAGGCGGGTGGGGCAGCTGGAAAGCGACGCTGCCGGTTCCCTGGATCTGCCTCCAATGCAAGCTGGGTTTTTTTTTGGGGGGGGAGCTTAGATCTGCGCCCCACTGGAGAAAAGAGCCCCCCGGGTCATGCTCTGGTGGGGAGGGGGTGGGCGTCCGAGCCGGAGATTGCGAGAAAGGAGAGTTGCAGGATGGCGAGGCGCCGCTTGCAAGAAGAGCCGAGGATGGCGAGGGAGGCGCGTCGCCAGCTGCGCGCCCCGATCCGCGCACCTGCCCGCCGGAGCAGCTTCGGCCTCGCCCCTCCCGGCCTCCCCGGCGGCTCCTCCCCGCCCTGCTGGGCCGGCTCACCTGCCTGCTCCGCCTCGCGCAGCGCCGGCCCCCGGGGCTCCCCCATCCGGCCCTGGCGCGCCTCTGCTGCTTCTCCTTCTTCTTCGGCGCGCCCGGGGCGCGGCAGGCAGGCAGGGCATCGCTGGGCTGCGCAGAAAGCGGACGCGGCCAGCCGGTCCTGGGCAGCAGCTGGAGCCCAGCTCGCGGTGGGTGGGGTGGGGTGGCTGGGTGGGTCGGAGATGGCGAGGACCCGGGGCCGATGGGAGTTGTAGTGCAGCACATCTGGCGGGCCGCTGGGAGTCGGAGTGAGATGCGCCACCAGCGGCGGCGGGTCCCGGGAGGACGTTCTGCATGCGGAGCAGGTGTCCGAGGAAGGAGCAGAGGGCAAGATGAGGTGCAGGCAGAACTAAGCCCGTGCAAACGACTCCCTTTGTAATAATAATAATAATAATAATAATAATAATAATAATATTCATTATTTGTACCCCGCCCATCTGGCTGGGTTTCCCCAGCCACTCTGGGCGGCTTCCAACAAAGACCAAAAATACACAAAGTACACACGCATCTTCCCATTGCTCATCAAACCAGGGCAATGGGCTCCCAGTGCAATAATTAAGGGAAAATATTTTCCCAGCCTTGACTTAAGGCAGCTTCTTTCCTGGGGCTGCATTCACTATGGTGGGGTGGTAATCAGATTTCCAGCCTCCTGATTTGTTATTTATTTATTGCTTTATTTATTGCCTGTATATTCAATAATAATAATAATAATAATAATAATAATAATAATAATAATAATAATATACTGCCCTCCAGCCGTAGATCAAAGGGTGGTTCACAACATAAAAATACAAGATAAAAAACCACAAAATACATAATAAAAACAAGAACAAGAACACAAGAACAAACCAATTACCCCCTCAACCCACCCCTACATATTTAATAATTATAATAATTATAATTTATTATTTATCTGGCTGAGTTTCCCCAGCCACTCTGGGCGGCTCTCAATCAAGTGTTAAAAGCAATACAGCATTAAATATTAAAAACTTCCCTAAACAGGGCTGCCTTCAGAGGTCTTCTAAAAGTCAAACAATTGTTTATTGCTTTGACATCTGCTGGGAGGTCGTTCCACAGGTAGGGCGCCACCACCGAGAAGGCCCTCTGCCTGGTTCCCTGTAACCTCACTTCTCGTAGGGAGGGAACTGCCAGAAGGCCCTCGGCGCTGGACCTCAGTGTCTGGGCAGAACGATGGGGTGGAGACGCTCCTTCAAATATACTGGACAGTTGAGGGCTTTCAAGGTCAGCACCAACACTTTGAATTGTGCTCAGACACGTACTGGGAGCCAATGCAGATCTCTCAGGACCGGTGTTATGTGGAAGGAGCTCGAGTTGGCAGACATGAGTTTTCCCTGCCGTCATTTAATTCTCACAACAACCTTGCAGGGTAGGCCAGGCAGAGAGTGAGTGACTGGCCCCCAAGGTCAACCCAGTGAGCTTCGTGGCCAAGTGGGGGATTTGCACCCCGGTCTCTCTCCCAGATCACGGACTCTAACCACTGTACAACACTGCCTCAGTGTGTGTGTGTGTGTGACTTCTTCCCCAGAGCAAAAGGTGGCAGCCCAGAGAGAGAAATTGTTGAGGGTCCCAACGTCACCAGGATGGCAGGTGAGAGGGGCAGACTTGGGAACAAATTTCTCAGTCACCTCACCTGTCAGAAATCCATTTTACCCTATCTTAGACATTTATATACTAAGCACCACACAGAAATGGCAGGCCTCTTCTCTGATATTAGCTGCATAGTATATCTGTGTGCTTATTTATTTATGCCTCGGCTCAGAAAGGATATTGCAGAGTTAAAAATGTTCCAAAAAGGGCAGCTAAAATGATCCAGGGAATGGAGCCATTATTCCCCTAGGAGGAAAACTTACGGTGTTTGGTCCTTTTTAGTTTAGAGAAAATCTGAGAGGTGACACGACAGAAGTTTATAAAATGATGCCAGACGTGGAGAAAGTGGAAAGAGAACAGCTCTCTCCCCCCCCCCCCCGTAATACTAGAACTGCAGACAGATTCAGGAATCATAGAATTATAGGATTTGTAGAGTCAGAAGGGACCCCTAGAGTCATCTAGACCAACCTGCTGCAATGCAGGAATCTCAGCTAAAGCATCCGTGACGGAAGGCCGATAAAAGAAAGGACTTCTTCACATAGTAAGACTATGGAACTCTCTGCCACCAGAGGCAATGACGGCCACCAACTTGGCATCATCATCATCATTTTTTATTTTTATACCGTCTTTCTATCTTACAATACTCAAGGCGGTTTACAAGCTGAAGAAACAAAAAATGTACATCTTATAACCATCTAATGCAATACAAAAATGTGATAATAAAACATAACTTTAAGCAACCTACATAAAAAAAGAAACAGTCAACAATCATTAGAATAACATAAAATAATAATATCAGCATATAAAGGTTAAACAGAGGTTCACTCATAACAGTTACAATAAATAATTTCTAAACTGCAATAAATAACACAACGGCAAGCCCCAGTACATCAAATAACACAACACAAATCGAGAAGCAGAGACTAGAGGGGGGAGCAAGGCAGGTGGAAGGAGGCCTTGCCTGATGAAGTCTCTCCCCTCAGGCAAATTCATGGAGGAGAGGCCTGCATTGCAGGGGGTTGGACTAGATGACCTCTGGGGGTGCCCCCTTCCAACACAGAATTTCTATAATTCTGTGATGGCTACTGGCTACGAGGGCTCCGCTCTGCCTCCGCAGCTGGAGGCAGCAATTCTTCTGAACAGCAGTTACTGGAAGCCACAAGATGGGAGAGCGCTCCTGTGTTCGAATCCTGCTTGCGGGTTTCCCATCATGGGCATCTGGTGGGACACTGTGAGAACAGTTTCCCTGGGGAGGTTGCGGACTCTCCATCCTTAGAGATCTTTAAGCAGAGGTTGGGTGGCCATCTGTCATGGATGTTTTAGCAGCGATTCCTGCCTTGCCGGGGGGTGGCAGTGCTGTTTTTCTGGGGGTACTCGAGGGTACGCAGTAGCAGCCCCTCTTTTTTTAGGGGGGGGGAGTTAAACAGTGTGACATTCAAGGTGAGTACTGGCATTGATTTTTCTAGGGAAAATGAAATCTACTCAGAGTGGAGAGTGGATTTCATGCTCTTTATTCAGCTCATAGTGGTGAGGAGGAATAAATGTTTCCCCAAAATATCTGCTTTATATACATTAGTTACACAACGGGCCCCACGTGATTGGCTAATTCCGGGATTCTCCTGTAGGCCAATCAGGTTGCGGATTCACTTCCACCTGGAGCTGGATTGGGTGGCTCCTGTGGACCAATCAGACTGCTGCATTCTGAATCCTATTCTAGGACCAATCAGACTGCTGCATTTTGGATCCTATTCAACTCAGTACATAACAGAAAAAGCACTGGTTTGGGACTAGATTACTCTTGAGGTCCCTTCCAACTCTATGATTCTACAGTATGCCTAGATGGGCCCCCACTGATCTGATCCAGCAGAGATCTTATACTCTTATGACAGCCATGTTATCGGTATGAGCTTTCGTGTGCATGCACACTTCTTCAAATACTTTCTTCAGATACCTTCTTCAGATATTTTGTGCATGCACACAAAAGCTCATACCGATAACAAACTGAGTTGGTCTCTAAGGTGCTACTGGAAGGAATTTTGTTTTGTTTTGTTTCGATTACGGCACACCAACACGGCTACCGACCTGTAACTAGAACGAGAAGAAAACTTTATTTTCCCTCGGGGTGAGGTCCAGCCAGTGGCGTAGCGTGGGGGGTGCAGGGGGGGCCGGCCGCACCGGGCGCAACATCTGGGTTTAGGGCAAATCCATGGGTTAGGGGGCGCAAATCCACAGGTTAGGGGGCGCAAATCTACAGGTTAGGGAGCGCAAATTACTTGCCTTGCCCCGGGTGCTGACAACCCATGCTACGCCACTGGGTCCAGCTACCAGCCTGCAGCCTGGCCTCCTGCCTTCTACAGGTAGTTCTGGATCCCTCCAAGGATCCCTTCCCACTGCCACCTTCCCGGATCCCCAAGGCCTCTCTCTGCCTGTGGGCAATCTGCAGGCACCAACACAGCTCTGTGAAGAGCGAAAGATAGACTTATCCCGAAGCTACTTCAACCCAAAGTATGACTGTACCTAGCTTTATGAATTCCTAGAAAATCCATACTTTAACCGACTCTCCTAATTCCAACGCCATTTTAACCCGGCTCCGACCCACGGGACTAGGGCCCTACAGGACTTGATCTCCTTCCACAGGGCCTGTAAGACAGAGCTATTCCGCCTGGCTTTCAATTTGAATTAGCCTGATCCTCTACAATCATACCTCAGGTTACAGACGCTTCAGGTTGCTTGTTTTCGGGTGGCGCACCGCGCTGAACCCCAAAGTACCAGAACTGGTTACTTCCGGGTTTCGGAGCTTACGCATGCGCAGAAGCACAAAAATCACACTTTGCACATGCACAGAAGCACTGAATTGCAACCCGCACGTGCGCAGACATGGGTTGCAAATGCTGCAGATTGCGAACGTGCCTCCCACATGGATCACGTTCGCAACCCGAGCGCCCACTGTATACATAAATCCGGCACTGCTCCCCCCCTTCTGCCCCACTGACTGAGCAAGGCATTGTGGGAATCCCTGTGGGGGGAGAAGAAGAATCAACGCCCATTTCTGTGACTGATGTTGAGTTTGCCCCACCACGTGCCGCCACCCTCTGCCTTCCGGGCCCCTTCTGCTCAATCTCTCCACAACTGCAGTCCCTGCTGGCACCGCAGACGTCACTGGGGAGGAAGAAAGGCTGCCCCCGGTGCCAGGCTGGGGAGCCACTCCCTGCCCCCGGAGGCCAGAAGCGAAGGCGGGCGGCTGACATCACAGCGCTGGCAGGGCAAGAGAGGGGCAGACTCAGCGGGAGATCTGAAGAAGCTCCGCAGGGTGGAGTCCCTGGCAGAAGGTGCAGCTG